AATATTATTACAATTTCTGCATGACTTATCAATAATGAAAAGTTGTAATAAGAATATGAAAATAATAATTATTTCAAGAAAATCTGAACAACTTTGCATAATTTTGAAGCATTTATATCAAAGTAACAAGCAAGAACACATTATTTTGAATTGAAAGATAATAAAATTTACTTGAAGAATATCAATTAATTAGCTATTTCAAAGGATAAAACTCTGAGAACTCAAATTTTAGAAGAATATTATGATATTCCTATCTCTGATCATTTAGGAATTGATAAAACTTATGAGCATTTACAAAGATCATACTATTGACCAAAAATATTCAAGAATATTTATAAATATATTCTTAGTTGTAAAGAATGTCAAAGAAATAAAAGTAATAATTAGTCACACTCAGGTCTTCTATAACTCTTGAAAATATCTGAATAGTGCTAGAAATAAATTACTTTGGATTTATCCTACAATTATCTATAACTTGTCAAGAACACAATATAATTTTAGTTATTATTAATTATCTTATTAAACAAGTTCATTTTATTTCTACCCATACTACTATTACTATTTCTGAAGTCACCAAACTCTTCTTTAATAATATCTTTAAATTACATGAATTATCTCAAGTTATAATTTCAGACTATAATAAATTTACTAGTTATTTCTGGAAATTATTATTTGAACAAATTGGAACTAAATTAGCTATGTCAATTACATTTCATTTACAAATTGATAGACAAACTAAGAGAATAAATCATACTTTAGAAAAAATATTATAAATCTATTTCATCTATAATTAAGATTACTGGGATGAACATTTTGCTGCTGCTGAATTTGTATATAATAATTTAATTCAAGCTTCTTCTGATTATATATCTTTTAATTTATATTTAAATAAAATATTATTATATCTTTAAAGAGAAATTAAATTAATCTTTACTATATTTGAGATTTGAAATTACTTCAAGTATTTGTATATTAACTATTCAGAATATTATTATTTTCTTTTTTATTTTACTTTTTTCTTCTCTAAATTTATCTTTTCTTTCTCTAAATTATTTTTTTCTTTCTTTAGATTACTTTCTCTTTCTTATTATTCAAAACTATTTTTTTCTTTTTATTATTCTTATTATTAAATAAGTTTAATTAGAACTTATAAAAATTATTCTGATATAGCTTGTTGATATTAATCTTTATAAAATATTATTTTCTAAAGCTTTTTGTAATTTTTCTAAGCTCAAGTTTAATAATATCTTCTTTTCTTTCAGATTTTTTTATTTAATTTTTCAAGTCTCTAAATATTATTATTTAATAAAAAACTAGTATTATTTATATTTTAAAATATTTAAGAATAAGATTAATTAAATTTTTATTATTAGAAAATTTATTTAATTATTAAAAATCAATATACAAAAATATTATTTATTTATTATCAAAAATATAATATTATATAATAAATTATAGAATTAAAATCTAGAAAATCAAATATAATACATCAACTTTATTAATTAAAGCAGTAAAGTCTTCAATTTGTTAAAACATAATAGAATTAAAGCCATTAATTTTGTTTCGGCATAAAAGAAATAAAAGCTAAAGTGTAATTTAGTAAGTTTTAAGATATTTAAATCATTTTTGTCTTCTTTACAAGACAATCTTTTCATAATGATATATTGATAATTTTATTTTTTATATTAAATACAAAATTAATCAATATAAATTCATCTCTCATAATGATATTATTAATGATTTTCTATAGTGATATTGAAATTTATGATGTCATTATAGAAAGGTTGACATGTATATATAATTTTCATTATTACACAACTATTTTTGTTGCAGCTATCTAGAGTATGATTTGCTATATTGTAATATAAGAATAAAAATAAAAATAAAATGTTTATATAAATAAGTTAGAAGTATTATTTGTTATTTTTCATGTAAGTATTATTCGTAAAATGAAATTAAATTATGGATCATGCAATACAGGATAAAATAAAGATGGTTGGATGGGATTCTACAAAGAATATCTTGGATGTGCGAGGTAAGAGTTTCTGATGAATTATTCCTTGCTTTTAGATAAATGGTGTTAATGTTGAGTTACAAGGTAAGAAATTTTGTAGGAGTTTTTGGGATCGCATTAATGTTGAGGCTAGAAGATAGGAATTTTGGTAGGAATCTTTGGGAACACATTACAAGGTAGAAATTTTTGTAGGAATTTCTCATTTCGGGCCAGTACTAATTATTAATAATTTTTTTTAGGTTTCGTCATATGTCATTTATGGAGGCACAAGAAATCTGTTGATAATTCAGAAAATTCGTGATCACGGGACTTTTCGTTGTGACAGCAATAATAGATAGCATCATAAAATCATTCGAATGCTAAAAACTCACATAAAAATTTTATCAGTGCATCAATGTATGTAGTTTCCTAACACAGGAACAACTCACATCACAAATGGATAATATACATAGAACTACATAATCAAACATGCAAGTAAAAGTTTTCTTTCACAATCAATTCGCATAAAATTTGAGTTATTAGATATGTATATGATTGCTTGTTTGGCTTGTTCATACATCGATATAAACATACAGTATTTTTAAAATTAACTCAAAGCAGGAATCGGATACTCATAATTATAGTAAATGTCGGCATTATCAAAAGGCTGAAATACTGCTTTGAAGGTTTCTTTTATTACAAACGAATTATAGCAATGAATTATCTAGCGGAGATAAAGATATTAACAATGTAACAAAATTATTGACAATAATTATTGGATAAATGTCATAAAGTTAATTTATACGCAGTCTGGTTGGATGGACTAATAAAATTATGATTTCCAGATGAGATCATGAGAAAATAAATTTAAGGAATGAATGAATATTTATTGTGTTAAATAATTAGAAAAGTCAAAGTTATTTATACAATCAATTTTTTCAAACATAGTTTCAGACTGCTCTTAATACAGACATGATGTTGATGATATTGTTGCTGCTGCAACGAAAAAAACTCGTGTTTAAGGAATGTAAAGAAAATTTCCTACCTTGCGCGCCCTAACTATTAATTATCATTATAGATTCCTACTAGAAATTCTTCCTTTGTGCGTTTTCCCTTAACGCGTGATTCATAATTTTAATTAATTTTGTAAATTAATAATTATTTTTATTCATTTTTTTGCATATAAATTTACATTAAATTCCATCACATTATTTTATAACATATATATCCTTTTCTTTTTGTGAAAATTCTTATTTTGTATTTTAATGACCGCAAAACCTGTAATTAACGAATTGTAAATAGTTTACGCAATAACAAAGACTATATATATATGATAACTCTCAAAAGTTAGAGACAAGCGATGTGTGTTTTGAAGAAAAATAACTAAATAAATATTTAACTCTTTCCTAACTACGTCTCAGCTTTTATTTCTTTTGTGAGCCAACAAAATCGAAGGCTTTATCTCTTTTGCCATAAAAAGTTGATGTATTTCGCTTGATATTGATTATTCGGTTATTTGTTTGGAAATTGTCTTAATTATTTTGAAACAAACCTATTTTTGTTGAATTGAATATAATTTAAATTGTGTTAGTAACCATTTGCAATTTTTTTTGTTATTTGGATTTATATCTTGCTAATAAATAATTATTACTTTGTTAAATGAATTGAATATTTTATTTCAAACTTTATCTTTGCAGCCTTGATTGCACAATTCCGTAAAAGATTAACACAGAGACCTCTAGAATCCCACTTCGTGTAAATCACTCGGTCTAGTTTTTTGACTCTTGTCGCGTCTATAGCCACTCAAAACCAAATACATGTTTACAAAATACGATGATATTTATGTTATCTTAATCGCATGCGGCTTGAAAAATTAAGATATTTGCAGACCACTTGTTAAATGAATTTTCCGTAGTATTTTCGTTATCAAATCATAGTTACCTAATTGTTTTTTTAATTTTAAAACATACACAAAGTAAATAGAAATATTGTAGAAAAAATCAGTTGACTAGGCAAAAAGTGAAAATTTTGATCAATCGATATATAAATTCAGTACGCAAAAATATGGTAAATATATGGAAGAATGAAAAGATTGGAAAAAATAGTAGAAATGAATCAGAAAGAGATAGCAATTCAAAAAAAGAATATGCATAAAACAAGAAATAGAAGAGCACAAGAAAAAGTTAGCATTATCATAAATATAAAATGTATTAAAATTGGTCACAATTTTCCTATACATCTTTACATATTTCTGTTATATAATGATTGTTTATATTCCAAAAGTGAAAAAATGCACATTTACATGAAGCCAAAAAAAAACAACTTGAGCCTTTCACAATATTAGCAATAAAAAACCAGTGCAAAAGCTTACTAGAAATTCTCTAAGGTAATTTCGTCAATTGTTTTGAGAAAAATAATGTTTCAGCAAAATAACTCTAGATCCACACTGGGAATGAAGTCACCAAATAGGTTCAATGGAAAAACAACAATTAGCGTATTCTCCCGATCTAACTTCATAAAAATGTCTGCAAGGCGTCGAGAACAATATCCAAAAATGTAAAAGTTTCCCAGGTATAAAAACCAAGACTACTCCCAAGGAAGTATGATCAAAATTCGATGTGTTGGTTTTTTGTAAGCTTAATGCCATTTAGAAATCAAAACGATATTAAAGTCATATGAAGTATTAATAAACAGTAAAAAAAAGATTTTTATAAAATAAATTGGAAAGTTCATTTTAAAACTCGGCCCTTACTTTTTGCGATAAATAACGTTAATTAAATTGCAATTGTTGCGACCGATAAATAAAAAAATTTACGAAAAAGGGAATCGGTGTTACGCAGTAATAACGATAACGATAATGCGAATAGTAATGGAAGTTGTAAACAATAGCAGCACTGAAATAATTACGGCGGCGTTTAATTGTTTTAAATAACAAATTATTTGTTTTTCATTAAGAACCTAATCTATTAAAACCTCACATTTCTCAAAAAATTATTATTATTCTCCAATGTTTCGTCCAAACATATACATCTATAAAGTAAATCAGTCTAAATTTGTTTCTCTTGATATTTTTGGGAGAGAAAATGACTAAATTTTCCTCTATATATAAAAAAGTTGCAAACACTTAATTTAGGCACGAGGAACTCGACGGCTTCCTCTGTTAATAACAAAAAAATTGCACAACCAACTGCTGAATACCAAGAAATTATCGAGCGCAAGGTTAAATATTTCTTCCTTCAAAGACTGAAAGACTAAAAAAATTGTATTGATATAATCAAAAATTACATTATAATTCTTATTTAACACAAAAGTGTGCAAAAGAGCTCGAAGATTTAATCGACGCGCTCCGAAAAACAATAAACAAATTCGTCCTACTGAACGAACCACACGCCTTACGAATAACATTTCCACGTAACACCGTAACTCCCGTTCTCCAATTGCTTTGTCAATCGATTCCCACGCGAGATCATAAAGAAATTAAATGTGAATTAGATAAGATTAATTCAACGACGGGAAACGCGATTCTACTTCAATACGGAAGTCGGATTGCTGAATATTTGAATAATCTTTATAAGCATTTGAAACTGAGAATTGAGAACATCAAGAATGAGAATGCGGAAATAATGGTTTTTTATGAAGGAAATTTGGATTTTGAAAAAATTTGGAGATCTGTGAAACTTTATGATGAAAAAATTTGTATAGCAGTTTTGAATACCGATACATGAAATTTTTATAAAGATAAAATTATCATTGTTCTCAAACATTACGAAAGATATGGAATTAGAAAAATTTTACTAATGGCCCAGATAAAAAATTGATAACCTATAGCAAAGAGATTATATGTTTGAACCATATCACGTTGTTTATAATGCTGCTGGATATCGTGGGTTTTTACGAATATAAAGGAAAATCTCAGAATTTCCATTGAAATTGTATAAAATACAGACGAATAAAAGGAAGAGACAAATAACTAAAACTGTATTGAGGAATAAAAAGGAAGAGTCTTAAAAGTAATAATAAAGCAGTTGGGAGATGTAAATATACGAGAAAATGGGCATATCTATTCAAAATGAGTTAAATAAAAGTGGAATCTTATGTAAAATATGAAACATGCTTTAAAAAAATAAGCGCAATTAGAAATATTTATTAAATAATTTGTTATTTAAATTTTTTCCATTCTGAATATGTTATTATAGTAAAATGAGGTTAAATTAAAAATATTTAAGAAGATAGAAAATAAAAATACGTATAAATAAATAATAAATAATTAATTAATATATATAATGCTAATAAAACATGTTTTTTACCTACTGTATATCCTAATGAAAAATTCTCAAAATTGTAGAAATTATAGATATATAGTTTCTTAAAACTAAATAGGGATAAAAATTTTTTAAAAGCTATTTAAGAGAATATATGAATAATTTGAGATATAACTCGATTCATTTATCAACTATTAGCTGTATTTATTAAAAAATTTATTCAAAATTAAACTGATTTGAAGAAATCGTGTTTATTTTATAGAATATATCTACAACTTTTGAATAATCTTTAATCTTATTAAAAATCTAAATAAAATTTAAGAAATTGATAAAATAAAAATAGTAAAAGTATATTTATAAAACTAATGAATGTAAGTATTTAAGAAAATTAGTAAATAATACATGTAGTCAAAAAAGTTACTAATAAATTTATCAGATCAGATAAAATCAGAATAAGAAATATTTATTGCAAGTCTGATTAAAATTTTTAATTATAATTATAAAAAACAAACCATATCAAGCATAATATTTCAATCATAATTAATTTTAATTTCAAAATATCATTAATCTAGAATTTAATTTATAATTTCATATTTTTTAATAAAATAATTTAATCATGCAAGTATAAAAGTTAAATTTCATAGAAATTAAATTATAATAATTATTAAACTTTAAAATTTGAGCAATATAAACATTATAATAAATATAATATATTTTTGAATTATAAATCATTTTATAAAAGAAATTTATTTTGAATATAATTGGAATTTTATATCATTACGACTTTTAAGATATTAAAATTATAATTACAAATAGATCATACAGTCCTCGATGAAAGTAATGGCGCGTAACGTTTTCGTCTATATTTAATAATAAAGCATTCATAACTCACGACAATTTGTAGATATATTCTTTATGATATTACGAACAAGATTCTCTAATAGTATAAGACATGTTATCTTAATAAATTTTTGCAGAATTTCGCATCAAGTATGCAAGATTGGAATTGAAATGAGTTAACTTTGAATAAAAAAAATTATTAAATAATATTTTCAATAGGCAATTTGAAAATAATTTTATGAAACCATATTTTAAGATTTAAAGAATATATTTTGATAGTTTAAAAAATTTTCATTTCATATTTATTTGATACATACCAGCTAAAAAAGGACTTTATTTTGATGAGTTTTATAATAATCCATAGTTTTTACTATATTTTACTATAATTTC